ATGGATGCCATGACTCAGCAAAAGCTGCAGTTCAACATAAGCAGGTGTGCCTTAGCTAAGTAGGCCTCAGTCTGAGAGAGGTCTCTGTGGGAGAAGGGCCTCAGTGTGTTACTAGGCCTCAGTATGAGTAAGCCCCAGTGTTAGCTTGCTTCGGTGGGAGAAGGCTTCAGTGGGAGAAAGGTCTCAGTGTGAGTAGGCCTCAGTGTTAATTTGCCTCAGTGTGAAAAGACTTGATTGGGAGAAAGCCCACAGTGTGAGTAGGCCTCAGTATGAGTAGGCCTCAGTGTTAGTTTGCCTCAGTATGAGAAGACTTCATTGAGAGAAAGGCCTCAGTGTGAGTAGGCCTCAGTGTGAGAAGACTTCATTGGGAGAAAGGCCTCAGTGTTAGTTTGCCTCAGTATGAGAAGACTTCATTGGGAGAAAGGCCTCAGTGTGAGAAGACTTAATTGGGAGAAAGGCCTCAGTGTTAGTAGGCCTCAGTATGAGTAGGCCTCAGTGTTAGTTTGCTTCAGTGTGAGAAGACTTGATTGGGAGGAAGCCCTCAGTGTGAGTAGGCCTCAGTATGAATAGGCCTCAGTGTTAGTTTGCCTCAGTGAGAGAAGTCTTGATTGGGAGAAAGCGCTCAGTGTGAGTAGGCCTCAGTGTTAGTTTGCCTCAGTGTGAGAAGACTTGATTGGGAGAAAGGCCTCGGTGTGAGTAGGCCTCAGTATGAGTAGGCCTTAGTGTTAGTTTGCCTCAGTGTGAGAAGACTTCATTGGGAGAAAGGCCTCAGTGTTAGTAGGCCTCAGTATGAGTAGGCTCAGTGTTAGTTTGCCTCAGTGTGAGAAGACTTCATTGGGAGAAAGGCCTCAGTGTTAGTAGGCCTCAGTATGAGTAGGCCTCAGTGTTAGTTTGTCTCAGTGTGAGAAGACTTCATTGGGAGAAAGGCCTCAGTGTTAGTAGGCCTTGGTGTGAGTAGGCCTGGTGTATAAGAAACGTTGGTGAGAGAAGCCACATGTTGAAGGCCATCGTGTGTGAAGGGTGCTATGTGTAAAAATCCTTCTTTGGAAGAGATAGCATCAGTCTGTGTTTTTAAATGCTTGTATGTCACTGTTGATTGTTTATTGCCTATTTTTTGTTTATGTGATTTATAGGAATTGTATTGTATTGATTGTTTTATTGATGTTTTGTTTCCTGATGTTTTGTGGGTTTGGCCCCATGTAAGCCGCACCGAGTCCCTAGGGGAGATGGTAGCGGGGTACAAATAAAGTATTATTATTATTATTATTATTATTATTATTGTGTATGTTTTTGTTCTTGTTATCACTTTGTGCTCCTGGTGCTGGGCCACGCTACTGCTAAAAATTTACTCTGCTGTGTATTTATGAGGAAGGGTCTTTTGTTAATAAGCCCACTTGCCCAATAATTGGGGGGGAGGGGGGGACTACTGCAGAGGCTTCGTGCACTACAACCCCCAGCATTCCTGGCACCAGAGCAGCCCAACCCTTAGAAATGCGCACTTGCCCACCCAAAGACCAGGCAGCCGTGATCCCGAATCCACTCACATCCCAATCTGACATAAGTACGGTGGGAAGGAGATGGAGGGAGGGGGGAGGCTCTGGGCTTCTTCCTCCTCCGCCGAGTCCCACATTGGCACTTGGCAAGCGCAGGGCTGGGAAACCGGGGAGAGCGCAGGCCCAAATCCAGCAAGGCGCAAATCGGAAGGCATCAATGCATAAAGGCGGCTATTCACTTGGGCCCAAGCTTTTGTTAAGCCTCGTTGTGCCTGGAATCTGGATCACACGGAGCAGCCCCCCCCCTCCCCTTGGGGAGCATGACAGAACCCCACTTCCGTTCCCAATGCAAACAGGGCAGCTATTCTAAATCTATCCTGATTTGGCTGGCTAATCCTCCGTTGCCTCACTTTCTCAACGGCCTATAAAACCTCCTCGTTTCCCTCTCTACCCTCAGCTTGCTTCAGCGGTTGCAGATTGACGACTTCATCACATGGGTCTAGGGAGCCCCGCACCCAGGGGCGGCGCAACTCTTACGCAAAGTAAGCCTTTGCGGTAGAGTTGATGTTGCCCAGGGGCGCTCTTGGGGGAAAATAGACCTTGACATATGCAAGTTGTAGTTACTGGGATTTATAGTTCACCTACAATCAAAGAGCATTCTGAACTCCACCAATGATGGAATTGAACCAAATATGGCACACAGAACTCCCACGACGAACAGAAAATATATATCAGTGATTGGTTGGGGTGGGGGGCAAGAGGTGAACTACAACTCCAAAACCAAAGGACACTGCCTACCAAACCCTTCCAGTATTATGTGTTGGTCGTGGGAGAACTGTTTGCCAAGTTTGGTTCAATTCCATCGTTAGTGGGGTTCAGAATGCTCTTTGATTGTAGGTGAACTATAAATCCAGCAACTACAACTCCCAAATGACAAAATCAATTTTTTGAGTGAAGGACATACATTGGGTTGTTAGGTGTCTTGTGTCCAAATTTGGTGTCAATTCTTCCAGTGGTTTTGGAGTTCTGTTAATCCCACAAACGAACATTACAGTTTTATTTACATAGATACAATGCTAATAACATATTATAATTCTATATTTTATATTACATGTAGTATTACTAACAATATTACAATATAATGGCATAGTACAAAATAGTAATATATAATACTGATATTGTACTATGCTAATAATATATTATATTCTACTAGCTGTCCCCTGCCAGGCGTTGCTTGGCCCAGTCTGTTGATCTGGAAAATAAAGTCACGAGAAAGTGTTAGTTTCTAAGATATGTAATTTCTTTTCTGCTTGTGGGTAAACAGTATTTCTTGCTGTTTCTTTGCCAGTGTGGATGTGGAGAGTGTCTGGTTTGCCTACTCTGGAACATGCAACATAGAATTGTCCTTCTTCAGGGGTCCCTTTCAAATCTATACTATATCTGTGTGTTTGTGAATCATATCTATCTATATGTATGGCTGGATGGCTCTTTGTCAGGAGGCTTTGTTTACGTTTTCTTGCCTTGGTGAAGGGAGTTGGACTGGATGGCCTTTCTGTTGGTCATGAGGGTTCTGTGTGGGAAGTTTGCCCTGATTCTGTAGTTCGTGAGGTTCAGAATGCTCTTTGATTGTAGGTGAACTGTTAATCCCAGTGACTACAAATCCCAAATGTCAAGGTTTATTTCCCCCAAACTCCATCTGTGTTCATATTTGGGCGTATGGAATATTTGTGCCAAGTTTGGTCCAGATCCATCATTGTTTGAGTCCACAGTGCTCTCTGGATGTAGGTGAACTACAACTCCCAAACTCAAGGACAATGCCCACCAAACCCTTCCAGGATTTTCTGTTGGTCATGGGAGTTCTGTGTGCCAAGTTTGGTTCAATTCCATCGTATGGAGTTCAGAATGCTCTTTGATTGTAGGTGAACTATAAATCCCAGCAACTACAACTCCCAAATGACAAAATCATAATTTTTGAGTGATGGTCACTCCTTGTGTTGTGAGATGTTTTGCTGCCAAATTTGGTGTGATTTCGTTCATTGGTTCTTTTGTTTTTAAGGAACTCATTATGCACTGAGCATTTTTATATATAGATAGATAGATGTATATATATATTGTTAGCCGCTCTGAGTCCCCTTCAGGATGAGAAGGGTGGCATATAAGTGTCGTAAATAAATAAATACATGAAGGGAGGGAGGGAAGCACCAGCAAAGGAAGCCAGAGCACATTCTCACGTAGGGAATGGGAGTACAGAGTGCATTCACAAGGCAAATGCTAAATCGCACAGTTGAAATATGACCAAGAAAAAGCAGGTCTTTTCCCACCCAATAAACCTGCTCCAGGAGGAGATCCACAGGCCTCATCCTGCCCTCTGCACACACGCACATGGGGGCTGCCCACCAGCAGACGCGGCTCTAGGTAACTTTCAACGGTAAGCAAACAGTACTTTGGTGCCCCCCCCCCCAATCATTGATATATATTTTCTGTTTGTCGTGGGAGTTCTGTGTGCCATATTTGGTTCAATTCCATCATTGGTGGAGTTCAGAATGCTCTTTGATTGTAGGTGAACTATACATCCCAGTAACTACACTTGCCGCACTTGCTCCCTTGCCTGGCCCGCTTTGGTCCGGAGGTGTGCCTGAAGACCCCGGCGTGTGCACCAAAAGTCACCTCTTCTCCTGACTTTCTCCTCAGCCATTGGGACCAGAGAGAGAGAGAGAGAGAGGTGGAGATGCCCACCTTTCCTGAAGGTAGGCGCAAAAACAAAGGAGGGAGCGGAGGTGGGAGATATCTCCAGCCAGAGGGGCTCTCTCTCTCTCTCTCTCTCTCCCAATGGCTGAAGAGAAAGTCAGGAGAAGAGGCGACTTTTGGTGCGCACGCTGAGGTCTTCAGACACGCCTCCGGACCCGAAGAGGTCCAGGCGCGGCGGCTCCACCCCTTGGCCCACCCGCGGATTGGGGAGAGGAGAGGAGGCGGGTGGAGCGCCGGGTGATCGGGAAAGGGAGCCGGTCATGGGGAAGGGATCGAACGCCGAGAACGATTGAGCGCCGGCTCTGCTCGCTGTTGTGAGGTGAGGGGGTGCTCCTCAAGTGGCGGTCGAGGGGCGTTTACAGAGGCGCCTCTGCACCCCTGGCAAAAAAAAAGTGTTCTGCGACCACTTACTTTGCGTAATGGACGAGCCGCCCCTGCCCACCAGCACCATCCTCCCCCAGCTTCACTTCAGTCACACCTTCCCGCATCAAGAAGGGTGAGACAGAGAGATAGCATTCCGGTACAAAGGTATTCAGAGGTGCACGCAGTAAAAGAGACCTCTGCAAGTGTCCACTGGCCAATGTGGACAGCTGCTGCCAGAGGGCAAGGAGGCCAAGGTTCAGGCCATAGGTGACCTCTTCAAAGCTGGCCACCATTCAAGGCGAAGGAGGAGCAGGCCTGGCCCAAGAGAAGCACAACAGCAGACCTCCATGACATTATACAACAAGGAACGTTTCACAAGGCAGGGTCTGCACTCACCTCGTCGGACTCATCGGACAAGGTCTTCAGCAAGATGGGGAAGAGGCTGTCCGTGTGCCGGAACATCTGGAACCAGAAAAAGAACGGCCATGAAGACATTATATTTATATTCTATTACTAGCCGTCCCCTGCCACACGTTGCTGTGGCCTAGTCTGCGTATATAGAATCATAGAATCAAAGAGTTGGAAGAGACCTCCTGGGCCACCATCCAGTCCAACCCCATTCTGACAAGAAGCAGGAATATTGCATCCAAATCACCCCTGACAGATGGCCATCCAGCCTCTGTTTGAAAGCCTCCAAAGAAGGAGCCTCCACCACACTCCGTTCAGCAGAGAGTTCCACTGCTGAACGGCTCTCACAGTCAGGAAGTTCTTCCTCATGTTCAGATGGAATCTCCTCTTGTAGTTTGAAGCCATTGTTCCATTGCGTCCTAGTCTCCAAGGAAGCAGAAAACAAGCTTGCTCCCTCCTCCTCCTCCCTGTGGCTTCCTCTCACATATTTACACATGGCCCCCATCATATCTCCTCTCAGCCTTCTCTTCTTCAGGCTAAACATGCCCAGCTCCTTAAGCCGCTCCTCATAGGGCTTGTTCTCCAGACCCTTGATCCTTTGAGTCGCCCTCCTCTGGACACATTCCAGCTTGTCAATATCTCTCTTCAATTGTGGTGCCCAGAATTGGACACAATATTCCAGGTGTGGTCTATATGTGTGTATATATTTGTGTATATGTGTATATATGTGTGGTTGCATATATATGTGTTTTTGTGTATGCGTTGTAATGTTTTTTTTCATTTTATTTTATGCCTTTTAAAATCCTTTCCATGGTGTTTTTCAGTGTTTTTATGAGTGATGGTCACTCACTGGCCTGAGAGATGTCTTGTGTCCAAATCTGGTGTCAATTCGCCCAGTGGTTTTTGAGTTATGTTCATCCCACAAAGAAACATTACATTTTTATTTATATAGATTATATTATATTAGTAGCGGTCCCCTGCCAGGCGTTGCTGTGTCCCAGTCTGGTGATCTGGAAAATTAAGTAATGAGAAAGTGTTGGTTTCTAATATATGTAATTTCTTTATGCTTGTGGGTAAACAGTATTTCTTGTTGTCTCTTTGTCAGTGTCGATGTGCTTGCTAATGAGCTGATGCTCAACTTTTGTATCCTGTTTGTTTTTGGGTGCTCTGCTATATTCAAGGGTAGTTTTCCCTAACACCAAAGACGGCAATATCTGGGCAGTGCCTTCCTCTCTGCCACGGTGCAATGAGCAAACCATGAGCAGATGCAATAGGTTAGGACATTCCCTATCACACAGCAGTAGAAAGTCACCAGCAGTTTCTCATTCAATTCAATCCAAACACAACTAAGATAGTCAAAGTGAAGGCTCTCAAGTGCTGCTCAGGTGGCGGATGAAGAGAACTGGAGGCTGTAGCCCCTCCCACTGGCTACTTATACTATCGGGGGAGTGGGCGGGGCTACCATCAAATATGTTATTTGTCTTTCTAGAACAGCATTTCTCAACCTGGGGGTCAGGACCCCTGAGGGGGTTGTGAGGGGGTGTCAGAGGGGTCACCAAAGATCATCAGAAAATACAGTATTTTCTGTTGGTCATGGAGGTTCTGTACGGAAAGTTTGGCCCAATTCTATCGTTGGCGGGGTTCAGAATGCTCTTTAATTATAGGTGAACTATAAATCTCAGCAACCACAACTCCCAAATAACATGGTCTATTTCCCCCAAATTCCACCATATTGAGTATTCCTGTCAAGTCTGGTCCAGATCCATCATTGTTGAGTCCATAGTGCTCTCTGGATGTAGGTGAACTATAACTCCAAAACTCAAGGTCAATGCCCATCAAACTCTTCCAGTATTTTCTATTGGGCATGGGAATTCTGTGTGTCAAGTTTGGTTCAATTCCATCCTTGGTGGAGATTAGAATGCTCTTTGGTTGTAGGCGAACTATAAATCCCAGCAACTACAACTCCCAAATGACATTATCAATCCCACTCCCCAACCCCACCAGCATTCAAATTTGGGCATATCAGGTATTGGTGCCAAACTTGGTCCAGTGAATGAAAATACATCCTGGATAACAGGTGTTCACATTACGATTCGTAACAGAAGCAAAATGACACTTATGAAGTAGCAACGAAAATAATGTGATGGTTGGGGGTCACCACAACATAAGGAACTGTATTTAGGGGTCGTGGCATTCGGAAGGTTGAGAAACACTGTTCTAGAAGATTCCGAAGTTGCTCTGCGCAGGCGCAGAAATTACCACATGTACGATTCACAGGGACCACGACAGGGAACATACAATCTCTGCTGAGCCCTCGTAACTAACTGTTGGGGTTCAGCCTGTGTGTGAACCTCAACCTGATTCTCTGATTGTTGAACCTGAACCTGATTCTCTGATTGTCTTTCCTGATGCTACTGAAAACGTATTTCTCCCTGAGGGTAATGAAAATGATTCTGAGGTCAGTGGCTTGGAAAGTGAAACTACACATTCTGATGAGAATGTTGCAGAGCCAAGCGGTGATAGCTCTCCAGAGGAGCTCACACCTGGCTTCCTTAATGAGGATAGAAAAGGACAGATTTGGGAAAACAGGAGTGAATCGCAGAGTCTGCGAAGGTCAAGCAGATTAAGGGAAAAGGAAACACAGGCTTCAAAGCCTGGAGGCGTGTCCCGAAACAGTTTCTTCAGTTTTAAGTGTCTCATTAGATCAGGCATCGTTTAGACTGAGGCATTACCTTGGCAGATTTCCCGTTTCCCGTGGCCTACATCCCAAGAGGCTTCTAGTGCTCCAAGTACAGTTAGTGGATTGCTAACAGGTTCCAGGTTTTTACAGTGTTGCTTTTGGATTTTGATCTAGTTCATGGATATTCTTGACTGCTGAATTTTACTGTGGCTTTTTGACTTTGCATTTTCCTCTATTTTGTAACCATTTTTCATCAATAAAAAGGGATTGTTTTTTCCCACAGTCAAGTGTGGTGGATTGTTATCTTATGGTCTCGTTTCCTGCTCTGGGTTGCAACACTAACGCTGCAGGTCAGGTCCTCCTTAATAACATCTAAATGCCTCCTTGTTCATCGAGTCCACAGATGCGTCCTCAAGCAGAAGCGCAATGGGGATGTATGGAAGGATGTGTGGCGGAACAGGAAACCCCATTTTGATTGTCTTTGTCTGGACCCAAATCCCCCCCCCCCCCGCCCCCAGGGAGGATCAGGAGGAAGGGTGAAGGAGGCCTTGCCTTGCGCGGGGTCTTGATGTACAAGTGGTAAAGCCACTTCAGGACCGCGATGCGCGTCATCATCCCGGCGCCGACGTCGTGGAGGTGGCAGTCCAGCACCTGGACAATGCCGTCCAGGTTGAGGGTCACCTGGACCCGCTCAGTGCTGCAAGGCACAAGGAAGAAAGGGACACATTCACCAGGAGGGCAAAACCACATCTCACCAAAAAGGCAGCACCAATTCCCAGCACGCTTCAAGAGCATCACCTTTGCAAAAGGCCAAGAGGCGCATGCCTATCCTTTTATCTTTACATTGGAAATATACACTCTGGTTACATCCCGAATAGATTACTGCAACACACTCTACGTGGGGTTGCCTTTGAAGACTGTTCGGAAACTTCATCTAGTCCAACGGGCGGCAGCTAGACTTCTCACTGGAGCACCATACAGGGAGCACACCATCCCCCTGTTATGTCAGCTCCACTGGCTGCTGGTCCACTTCCAAGCACAATTCAAAGTGCTGGTCTTGGTCTATAAAGCCCTTCACAGTTGCATGGCAATCATATCTCCTCTCAGCCTTCTCTTCTTCAGGCTAAACATGCCCAGCTCCTTAAGCCGCTCCTCATAGGGCTTGTCCTCCAGACCCTGGATCATTTTAGTCACATTTAAACACAAAAGATTGCACTGGGCAGGGCTAAATTCAAAGATAAGATTTAAAAACCCTGGGAGATAGGATGATGTAAATTATCGGGGAGGAGGATCCGGAGATGAGGAAGGATTTAATTACACAAACCATAAAACAAAGTGCTTCTGAGGTCATTTTGTGCAAAGTTTGGTCAGGGAGTACCTTACATTCAATCACTGAAGGCACATTGGAATAACCAGGTTTTCAGATTCCTCCTAAAGATTGCTAGTGTGGGGGCTTGCTTAATATCTCTGGGGAGTGGGTTCCAGAGCCGGGGGGCCACCACAGAGAAGGCCCCCTCTCTCGTCCGCACAAGTTGCACTTGCAATGCAGGCGGGAGCACTGCCATAAACAAGCCAAAACAGGAGGCAGCCAAAGCCGTGCCCCAATAACTGCAGAGGCCCTGAGAGAAGGACCACTTGTCTTGTGACACCTGAGACAGGTATGTCCTTGCCTGACTGATCACACCTCTGAGTGCCAGAAACACCAGTGGAGGGACAGGGCCCGTTCTCTGCCATCCTTTCCTGGCAATCTCAGCAGGAAAGCCTGGGAGCAGCTCCACGTTCCAGGTACCTCTTCGCCCACTAATAAACATCAAAGCACTTTCCAAACTGAGATTCAACTTGGGTTAGAGTGACACCCTCTGGCATCAGGGTAAAATTGCTTCAAAATGTCTTCGGCATGAGAAATTTATTATTTATTTATTTATTTATGTATTTATTTATTTAATACATTTGTTATACAGTGTTTATTTTACAGCAATGCAGCCTACCATGCTTTAACTTTTGGCATCTAGTGTTATTTTTCTGCTTATACATATTATCTATCCTCCCCGCTCCCAAGCCACGGCTTTTACATATCATCTGTCCAAAATTTCACTTCTTCTTATGGAGGTAACTTTCCTTCTTTCTTTTTAAATCCTTTTTCCATACATTTTCTCCAAACATCATCAAAATCACTTTCTGAAATTTTCACCACCAGAACTTTAGCAACACTTTAGAAGCAAAGCACTAGCACCCCCTAGTTTTGTAAGTCCTTTAGAATCATTTAGAACCATGGATTGCCCCTGCCTACTGCCAACTTTTTGGTCAGCAAGTTCAGCAGCAAGTTCAGCAGCAAGTTCAGCAGTGGTTTAACCCACTGCGCTACCGGGGGCTCCAAAAATCTCTCTCTCTGTGTGTATGTATATATCTGGAGTTACGCTTAAACCTACAGAACCGATCTTGCTCGTAATTTGGGAATTGTCTGCAATGACTTAAATCAAGTATGTACAGAACACGCTAGGTCATGTCCAAAACATCTTGGTATGTTATGCCCACACGAGATCAGCTGGAGCCTTAGAGAAAAGAAGGCCACCCACCACCCAACGGCACCCTTTTCTTCCCATGAGCCCCAGAGAGAAGTGGCATCGCTCCCCGGTGCTCTGGAACCCCTTCTTCCAGGGTTCTAGACATGCATGGTTCTAGACTTGCAGTACCTAGAACCTGTTTACTAGGGCCTGGTTGCCCCATTTGGCAGCCAGCTCAATAATAATAATAATAATAATAATTTTCTGGTGAACAGGACCCAGAGGAACATTTTGATCCAACTTCTTGGATGGCACAACCTCACAACCTCTGAGGATGCTTGCCATAGATGCAGGCGAAACGTCAGGAGAAATGCCTCTAGAACATGGCTCTATAGCCCGAAAAAACCCACAAGAACCTAATAATAATAATAATAATAATAATAATAATAATAATAATAATACATCATTTATACCCTGCCACCATCTCCCCAAGGGGACTCGGGGCGGCTTAGATGAGGCCAAGCTCAACAACACATCAGTAAAACAACAAAGCAGTAAACAAATAAAACAATACAATTAATATAACTCACAAATAAACAGTAACACACAAAAATTTAAAAACCTATGGCTGGACCAGATGTAATAGATTAAAATTTTAAAATAAACACTGGGCGTGAATAGAGGTAGGATGTATCTAAGCAGGTATTGTGGCTCAGCTTGACTCTGAGTCTGAAGCTGTGGGCCTTCTGAGCCAGAATTTCTACAGGATGATGATGAGGATGATGGGTACAGATTTCTGTACATGCTTCAGACAGGGCTGACGGTGGGGCTGCTGAAGGAGAAACAGCAAGTCAGTTCCCCGGGGAAAGGAATGTTAGTGAGACTGATAACGAGAGTGAATTCCCACACGGACAGGTGGAGACGTCTTTGCCTTCCCACAGTGATCCGGTCCAGCTGGACCAAGATAAGGGGTTGCATAGCCTTGAAGATAATGAATCAATGAGCAGACAAGATCGTTTGCAATTAAGGCTCCGGAGAAGCGAGAAGCCAAGGGTGCCAAAGGTCAACGCAATGCATTCATGTCATGCAAAGGGTATTTAGCCTTGTAGCTGACAAGCAGGGGTTGTCAGTCCAACGTAGCCCTTCCCATGCAAACTTCTGTGGATTAACTTTAGCTTTTAGCAGCATGCTTCTGGCTTCCTGAGTCTGGGATTTGGGCCTGGTTTTCAACTGTTTTCCATGGACTCTTGTTTGACCATTGCTAAAGGATTATGCTTCGTGTTTTTGCCTTTGGATCTGGGGAACTTTGTCTTTGCATTTAAGCCTTTGTATTGCCTGTGAAACTTTTGCATTTCTTATACTTTGTTTTGACTTTGCCTTTTTCTCAATAAACTACAAAACCTACAGCTTTGGTGTGGTGGTGTCTGGAGCAAGGTGAAAGCTACTCTTGAGTTGCAACAGCCGGAGGGTTTTAAAGGATAATGTAGGGAGGTCAACCCAACGGGTAGTTAAAGTGCTTCTGAGGTCATTTTGCAGGGAATTGGTCAGAGCAGGGCAGGAAGGCACAGCCAAATCCACCCTCACACACACTTCTTTTCTCTCTTGAAATGCCAGAATGAACCAATGCAAAAACACTGAAATGACATACCTGGCTGGCATGAAAACACTGGTGCTGCTGAAGTTCGAATCCCCAGAAGCGTCCAGGCAACCTGTGAGGGAGAGGAAGGGTCTGTTAGAAGGTCCTTGGCCTGCTCTGGCCAAGGTACGGATGTTTTTCTTTTTGTTTTGTATTGCTTTTGTGTCAGAAAGAAAGTATTATGTTATTTTTGTTGAAACTGCAAATATGATGTCATATCCTCATCATCATCATCATTTAATAACTTATTAATCGCCCTCCATCCGAGAATGCTCTAGGCGATTTACAGCTAAATTGTAAAAGATAAAATGCATACATACAAAAAATAAAAATTAACAGGGATCGAATGCTCTAGTAAAAAGCCAGGTCTGAAGTGCGAGAGTAAAAGGCCCTCAGTCACGCATGGCTCTCATGTAGGGCAGCAAGGAATCCCACAAGGCAGGGGCAGAAATAGATAAAGGCCCATATGACAGGTTTATTACTTATAAACACAATATAGAGGGACAACTTCTCTTCATCATGGATAAATGTCCATCTTCATTTAGATAAACATCATAGTCCAATCTGTCTGATGATTGAAAGAATCACTTGAAGATGTTTTTGAAGGACTATTTGTGGCATCCAAGGTCGTGTCAGAGAAGAGTTCCACACGGTGGCCAGGTTACAACAAGGTATCCCGGGCGTAGTTCCTTGTTTTAGGTGTTGGTGATAAAAGCACCTTCTTCAGGTAATGAATTCTTCTCAATATTTCAACAGGAAACAAGTCTCTGATACTACAATTACATGTATGAAAAGAACAACAACATACATAAAATAGATACGCTATAGCATCCCTATTGTTATGTTAACATCAAATCAATACATAACTAATACAAGATAGTCAAAGTAATGTTCACATGTCTTACAAATGTTTTAAATGTTTTTTATGATGTTGTTGGCATTGAACTGTTGCCTTGTGAACTGCCCCGAGTCGCCCGCGGGCTGAGAGGGGCGGTATACAAATGTATACCAATGTACATTTCATTCAGTAACCACAGGCTCTGCTGCAGGAGATTCTGTTGCGAGCAAATGCTCTTAATCCTGATGGGCCTTAAATACATGTTACAGATAACAAGTGAAATCAAGTTTGTTGTTAAGGGCCTGAGGGACCAGGGTTTGAAATTTAAAAGTCCAGAAAGCTTCCCTTTGGAGAAGTAGTTTCTTCATATCTAAATGAGGTCTGGTGTGTAGTTTTTCCAAAGCACAGAACCTGAAACTGTAACTTGAGTGTGCCTTTTCCCTAAAGTGCATATATAAGGGGGAGTCAGTATTGCCATTCTTAATCCGAGAACAGTGTTCATACATTCTAGTTCTCAGGGGCCTGGTAGTCATCCCAATGTACAATAGGTTGCAGGGACATTGAATCGCATATATTACATTCTCTGATGAGCATGTTGTATGATCTTGTCTAGATCTAGAGAAGTAATGCTACCCCTCTATTCCTCCTTGGTTAGACCACACCTGGAATATTGTGTCCAATTCTGGGCACCGCAATTGAAGAGAGACGTTGACAAGCTGGAATGTGTCCAGAGAAGGGCGACTAAAATGATCAAGGGTCTGAAGAACAAGCCCTATGAAGAGTGGCTTAAAGAGCTGGGCATGTTTTGCCTGAAGAAGAGAAGGCTGAGAGGAGACATGATAGCCATGTATAAATACGTGAGAGGAAGTCACAGGGAGGAGGGAGCAAGCTTGTTTTCTGCTTCCATGGAAACTAGGGTCTGGAGAACAAGCCCTATGAGGAGCGGCTTAAGGAGCTGAGCATGTTTAGCCTGAAGAAGAGAAGGCTGAGAGGAGACATGATAGCCATGTATAAATACGTGAGAGGAAGTCACAGGGAGGAGGGAGTAAGCTGGTTTTCTGCTTCCATGGAGACTAGGACGCAGAACAATGGCTTCAAACTACAAGAAAGAAAATTCCATCTGAATATTAGGAAGAACTTCCTGACTGTGAGAGCCGTTCAGCAGTGGAACTCTCTGCCCCAGCGTGTGGTGGAGGCTCCTTCTTTGGAAGCTTTTAAACAGAGGCTGGATGGCCATCTGTCAGGGGTGCTTTGAATGCAGTATTCCTGCTTCTTGGCAGAATGGGGTTGGACTGGATGGCCCATTCTATGATTCTAGATCTCAGGGCCTGTGGTCATCCCAATGTACATTAGGTTGCAGGGACATTGAATCGCATATATTACATTCTCTGAAGAGAATGTTGTATGAGTTGGATGTATGAAATACTTTGTGTTTAACATTTGGCTACAGCAGTCACAATGCCTGCATGTAAAGTTTCCCTTAATTGTTTCTTGGGTGTCTGTCTTTGATGTTATAAAATCCAAATGAATCATGATGTCCTGAAAATTTCTGGATCTCTTGTGGGCTATGATGGGTACTGTTTGACAAGGAACTCCACCCGGGATACCTTGTTGTAACCTGGCCACCGTGCAGAACTCTTCTCTGACACAACCTTGGATGCCACAAATAGTCCTTCGAAACATCTACAAGTGACTCTTTAAATCATCAGACAGATTGGACTATGATGCTTATCTAAATGAATATGGACATTTATCCATGACTAAGAGAAGTTGTTCCTCTATATCAGGGGTCCCCAAACTTTTTGAACAGAGGGCCAGGTCACAGTCCCGCAAACTGTTGGAGGGCCGGATTATATTTTGAAAAAAACATGAATGAATTCCTATGCACTCTGCACATATATTATTTGCAGTGCAACCCCCCCCCCCAAAAAAAAATCAAAACAAAAACCCACACTTCTATATAAATAAAAATGTAATGTTCGTTTGTGGGATTAACAGAACTCAAAAACCACTGGACGAATTGACACCAAATTTGGACACAAGATACCTAACAACCCAATGTATGTCCTTCACTCAAAAATGATTTTTTTTTTCATTTGGGAGTTGTAGTTGCTGGGATTTATAGTTCACCTACAATCAAAGAGCATTCTGAACCCCACCAACGATGGAATTGAACCAAACTTGGCACACATTTCTCCCATGACCAACAGAAAATACTGGAAGGGTTTGGTGGGCAGTGTCCTTTTGTTTTGGAGTTGTAGTTCACCTACATTCAGAGATCATTGTGGACTCAAACAATGATGGATCGGGATCAAACTTGGCACAAATACTCAATATGCCCAAATTTGAACACTGGTGGAGTTTGGGGAAAATAGAATCTTGACATTTGGGAGTTGTAGTTGCTGGATTTATAGTTCACCTACAATCAAAGAGCTGAACCCCATCAACGATGGAATTGAACCAAACTTGGCACACAGTTCTCCCATGACCAACAGAAAATACTGGAAGGGTTTGGTGGGCAGTGTCCTTTAGTTTTGGAGTTGTAGTTCACCTGCCTCCATAAATCACTGTGGACTCAATGATAGATCTGGACCAAACTTGGCACTGATAATCATGATGTCCAAATGTGAACACTGGTGGTGTTTGGGGGTTGTATTTGCTGGGATTTATAGTTCAATCAAAGAGCATTCTGAACTCCACCAATGATGGAATTGAACCAGTCTTGGTACACAGAACTCCATGAACAACAGAAAATGCTGGGTTTAGTGGGCATTGACCTTGAGTTTTGGAGTTGTAGTTCACCTGACTTCACTACGCCGGCGTTCCCTGGCCATGCCCACCCTGCGCCGCTCCGTCAATCGCGGACACCCTCTGCTCCAGCCACTCTGTTCTGCAGATGACCCACCTGGGAGGCTTCTCCCTCCCACACAGGCAGAGCGGCTGGAGCAGAGGGTGTCTGCAATTGGCGGAGTGGCGCCAGGTGGGCATGGCCAGGCCAGGCCAGGGAAATGCCCTCGGCGGGTCACATACGGCCCGCGGGCCATAGTTTGGGGACCCCTGCTCTATATTGTGTCTATAAGTAATAAACCTGTCATATGACATCATATTTGAAGTTTCAACAACAATAACATAATACTTTGTGTATCTTAGTCATAGATATCTGTGTTCTATATAATACAGGCAGAAAGGGGCCATGCCGGACTCACCCCCGGAGCCCCCCTCCTGTTTGGGGAGCGCTTCCTCTTGGTCGGCCTCCGTCGGGAGAGACGCCGGGCCCGGCTTGCCCTCGTCCGCCACCTCGTCGTCCTCCGGAATGACCAGCTTCATCAGGCTCTGGTTGCAGACGTTGGCCACCTCTTTGATGCCTGTGAGTCGCCGGGTTAAGGAACGTCCCCCAAGTCGGTGCCAAGAGTCACTCCCCAGGTGCCTACTGCTGGAGTTCAACCCCACATTGCCCAAGACTCAAGTCCTCAATGAGGAACAGCTCAGTTAGCTTAGTGCAGACTAAGGGTTTCCCTTCTCCCATGAATGACATCTTTTTCTTCTCTTTCTGCTCTCATTCTGATCGGTTGTTTAAAATTTTCTACTGCAAGCTTTTTGAATCTGGCAGGAAGAAGCCAAGCCTTGAAGCTGCAAGGCTATTCAATGCTCATCAAGGTGGCCATTTGCAACAAGCAGACAAAAGTTATTTCTCCCACCCAGGACATTATTCCATAGTGACATAAACCCCACTTGCCTAGTTTCCAACAGATCTCACAACCCATAGATGTGGGCGAAATGTCAGGAGAGAATGCTTCTGGAACATGGCCAGACAGCCCGGACGACTCACAGCAACCTATTATATTTTAATTAGTATTTTGTGTCCTTGCCTAGTTTCCAACAAATCTCACAACCCATAGATGTGGGCGAAATGTCAGGAGAGAATGCTTCTGGAACATGGCCAGACAGCCCGGACGACTCACAGCAACCTATTATATTTTAATTAGTATTTTGTGTCCTTGCCTAGTTTCCAACAAATCTCACAACCCATAGATGTGGGCGAAATGTCAGGAGAGAATGCTTCTGGAACATGGCCAGACAGCCCGGACGACTCACGGCAACCTATTATATTTTAATTAGTATTTTGTGTCCTTGCCTAGTTTCCAACAAATCTCACAACCCATAGATGTGGGCGAAATGTCAGGAGAGAATGCTTCTGGAGCATGGCCAGACAGCCCGGACGACTCACAGCAACCTATTATATTTTAATTAGTATTTTGTGTCCTTGCCTAGTTTCCAACAAATCCCACAATCCATAGATGTGGGCGAAATGTCAGGAGAGAATGCTTCTGGAACATGGAAAATTCACCGCAACCTATTATATTTTAATTAGTATTTTGTGTTTTAGCTTTTTAATATACCTCTGCAATTTAGCTTTTGGCCCAGGTTCTAATTATTTTAGCGTATTGTGATTATATAAGATTGTACCCCGCTCTCCTTATGTTGTTCTATGACTGTAATAAAGAAAGAGTTGAGATTCGAGCCCTGCGGCGGCTGCAAGGATGCTCTTCTTCCGGTCGTCGTAGGAGAGGCACGGCAGGACCGCCGTCAGGATCCCCGAAGAATACGGCAGCATCACCCGCCCGGCCAGCTGGATGAACTCGCGCATCCAGCACATGGCCGTCAGCTGGATCAGGTCATCTGAAGGGAGAAAGGAGGGAAGAGGACCGGGCTGTGGCGCAGTTGGCTACGAGTCCGCTGCATTAAATCACCACTGAGTTGGAAGCCACCCCGGGTCGGAGTAAGCTCCCGACCATTTGTCTAGCTTGCTGTCGACCTTTGCAGCCCGAAAGACAGTTGCATCTGTCAAGTAGGAAATTTAGGTACCACTGATGCGGGGCTACTTTAACTACCATATATACTAGAGTATAAGCCGACCCAAATATAAGCCGAGTGTCAGGAGTCAATTTCTGACGGCATGAAGACATCCCAAATTCCCTCCGTGACATCCTGACTGAATCATCCTGGTTGCCTCAGTTCTCTCTCTGTGACATTTTGAAGTCAGGGGAGGGCACTGGAAACCTTGTATTGGAACTTGTGAAGCAACAAGCTCTAATAAGGAAACTGAGAAGAAGGGGAAAATGGGTAGGAAGGGTGTATAAAAGGAAGTGGTGGTGGGAAAAAGTCCGTAGTGTCTTTCTTTGCTGCAGAGATACAAGCAATATATTCATTTCCAAGCACAACCGGCTTGTGAGTGGTTATTTAATATTGCTATATAAAACTTACAGTCTTACACCGAGGCACCTAATTTTACTAATAATAAAAGAGTAAAATAATAAATATAATAATAACAACAATAACAATGAAGTAAAATAATGGAAATGTAATAACAGTAATAATAGAATAATAAATGTAATAATACTAATAGAGTAAAATAATAAATGTAACAACAACAATAATAATAGAGTAAAATAATGGAAATGTAATAACAGTAGTAATAGAATAATAAATGTAATAATACTAATAATAGAGTAAAAATAAATGTAATAATAAAAACAATAATAAACAGAGTAAAATAATGGAAATGTAATAACAGTAATAATAGAATAATAAATGTAATAACAACAATAATAATTGAATAATAAATGTAATACTAATAATAGAGTAAAATAATAAATGTAATAACAACAACAATAATAATAGAGTAAAATAATGGAAATATAATAACAGTAATAATAGAATAATAAATGTAATAATAACATTAATAAATAGAGTAAAACAATGGAAATGTAATAACAGTAATAATAGAATAATAAATGTAATAATACTAATAATAGAGTAAAATAATGGAAATATAATAACAGTATTAATAGAATAATAAATGTAATAATAACAACAATAATAGAGTAAAATAATGGAAATGAAATAACAGTAATAATAGAATAATAAATGGAATACTACTACTACTACTAATAATAATAATAATAGAGTAAAATAATAAATGTAATAATAACAGCAATAATGGAGTAAAATAATGAAAATGTAGTAACAGTAAAAATAAAATAATAAATATAATAATAACAATAATAAATAGAGTAAAATAATGGAAATGTTATAATAACAGTAATAATAGAATAAATGTAATAATACTGCTAATAATAATTGAGTAAAATAATAAATGTAATAATACTAATAATAATACTAATAATAATCGAGTAAAATAATAAATGTAATAAAGATAATAATAACAGAATAAAACAATAAATAACCTTGACTCGAATATAAGCCGAGGGGGACTTTTTCACTGAAAAACTAGGCTTATACTTGAGTATATACAGTAATTTACAATGCCATAAAAATTTCCAGCAGTGGGCGAAAGAATGAGGAAGTACTCCATTAAGGACTCAGTGTCACAAGTGGACTGTGAAGCGACAGCTCCCCCGGTGGCCAGAATTCGAGCGTACCCTCATGAAGCTTAAATTGCCTCTGAGTTTGTCTATATATGTTGTGTTTATGGCATTGAAGTGCTCCTCAACCAGCACCCCGAAGGAGGAAGGCTAGGAGGGGGTTCTAGGAAGGCCACACAAGACAGGGACGGAGAGGAAAGCTAGGCCAGCTCACCCGAAGCCTGGCAGTGAATGACCAGGATGTTGGCCATATCCGCAAACTTGACGCTGGAAGGGTTCTTCTTGATCTCTTTCAGGAACTCGCCAAGGGCCACTTCACACCTGCAACGCAGAGGAAAAAGGGTCCGAGGGTTCAGAGCTCCCCCACTCTTCCTCTCGGTCCCAATATTGGGACTCAGCCTGTGTGTGAACCTGAGTCTGAATCTCTGATTGTATTGCCTATTGTTGATAATATTGATGTAAATGTTGACGTGCCCAGTTTGGATAGTGAGGCTGAAGTCATCAATGAGGACGAGGCTCAAGATGGAGACACTTTGGGCAGGAAAAATCCTACAGGCGTTGATTTAGAGGCTTCAAGGGAAAAGCCAAGTTCTCATGAGAAAGTTCCTGTCAGACCGAGAGAAGAAAATTCACTCCCTTTTCCTCCTGGCCCGAGCTTGCAAGACAACTTGACACCTGGTTGGGTCAACGATTATAGCCAGTTTGGAAATAAGCCAGAACCGCAGGGAGGCTCAATGTTTACATAGGTCTGAGAGAATCCGACAACTGAAACCAAAGATTAGAGTTAGCCGGAATCAGTTTTTGGGATTTARGAGTGACTGTGAGGGGGATTTCCTCAGACCAAGCTTCGTTTAGTATCAAGTACAAACCTCCTGGGTTTTCCAGTTTCCAGTGGTCTGGTCTCTAAGGAAGTGAGATTTAGCAGGGGCTAATCTGTTCATGGATTTCTATTGAGAGYATTCTGGATTTTACTGCTTTGGATTTTCTGCAAACTGTTTGCTGTTTCATTTTGACTTCTCTACCTTTGGACTTCTACCTATTTTATATTCATCATTCAATAAAAAGGATTGCASTTTTCCTAAACCAAGGTGTGGTGTATTAATGACAAGAGGGCCCTCTCTCCTGCTCTGGAGTGCAACACCCAATTCCTTCTACCTTGTGGGGTTCCTCCTCAGGGGGCCATTCTCTCCCCTCTCTTGTTTCACATCTCTATGCGACCACTTGCTCAGCTGGAGTGTGACCAGTACGCGGATGACACTCAGCTGGTGCTGAAGATGGAAGGCGACCGGACTCTGTCCCTGATTGTTTCCATCAGCGCCTCGAGGCCGTGACTGGATGGCTGCATGCCAGCAGGTTGAGGGTGAATCCGGCAAAGATGGAGATCCTATGGCTGGGTCGACCGGGCAGTGGGGACATCCAGCTGCCTACCATGGGTGGCGAGGCGCTACGCCCGTCCTCGTTGGTCAAGAGTCTGGGAGTCCTTTTGGACCCTCTGCTGACGATGGGGGCCCAGGTCTCTCTCCGCCCTGAGCAGAACCGCCTTCTTTCTTCCACCTGCGGCAGGCTAGACGGCTGACCCCCTCCCTGTCCAGGGACAACCTCGCTACGGTGATCCAGGCCACGGTCATCTCAAGACTGGACTACTGTAACGCCCTCCACATTGGCCTCCCTCTGTCGGTGATCCGGAAGCTCAAACTGGTACAAAACGCAGCTGCTCGGCTTCTTGCAGGAACTCTGATGAGATGCCACATCACCCCAGTCTTCCTGCAGCTGCATTGGTTACCCATTGAGCACCGGATCACTTTCAAAGGGATGGGACTCCCCTTGAAGGCCTTGCATGGTCTGGGGCCGATGTACCTGAGGGACCGCCTCACCCCCTCCCAACCCCAGAGATCCCTCCGTTCTGAGGACCAAGATCGGTTGGAAACTCCCAGTGTCAAGACCTTGCATCTAACAGCAACCAGGCGCAGAGCCTTCACAGCAGTGGCCCCAGCACTCTGGAACACTCTGCCACCTGAAGTCCGTGCCTTGCGGGACTTACCAGCTTTCCGCAGGGCATGGAAGACATACCTGTTTCGAGAGGCCTTTGATCTTTGATGCTGTTTTTTAAATTGTGTTAGATTTTAGTCTGTTCTTGTAAGCTGCTCCGAGCCCTACGGGAGTGGCGGCATATAAGTTTGAATAATAAATAAAATAAATATTAAATATTATATTTCACTTAGCATACTCAGCACTTTTAATCTGTACCCATTACACTTGGCCCGGCCTAGTTTTACTGTGTCATGGAGTATTGTTTACTGTTATTGCTTTAATATTTTGCTTTGCTTTATGGTTTATGTGTATTGTTATACTGTTGTTTATTGAGGCCTCGGCCTGTGTAAGCCGCATCGAGTCCTTCGGGAGATGTTAGCGGGGTACAAATCAAGTTAATAATAATAATAATAATAATAAATAAAAATAAATTTACAGGAAGACTTTCCCACTCCTGAAGGGACTCACATTTTGCGGATCTCCTTGCTGTTGTCCCCCAGGATCTGGAAGAGGCCATCGAGGATCTCCGGCAGGTAATCCAGGAGGTTAATATCCGGAACAGACTCCAGGACCAAGATCTAGCCCAGGGGGAAAAGAAACACCGAGGGGAGACATGAAAGCCAACCCTTTCCTCAGCACAGCACAGAGACCATTGCCAGCCTGCCTGGGTGGTTGATGAGGAGACATTGGCCAGTGTTGCCAGTTGACATTCACAAGGAATAAACTCCAAGGAAGTTGGCTAGGAGCCAGATGTATTAAATTTCCACTGACCAAAGGTGATGAGTTCAAAGCCAACCCAGGTCGGGATAAGCTCCTGACCATTTGTCTAGCTTGCTGTCAACCTTTGAAGCCCGGATACAGTTGCATCTGTCAAGTAGGACATTTAGGTACCATTTTATGCGGGGAGGCTAATTTAACAAATTTACGACACCATAAAAATCTCCAGCAGCGGGCGAAAGAATGAGGAAGTACTCCATCAAAGGACTCGGTGTCTCAAGTGGACCATGAGCAACAGCTCCCCCAGTGGCCGGAATTCAAGCATACCCTCACAAAGCTGGAATGTGAAAATTACTTCTGTGTCTGTCTATGTATGTTGTGTGTCTGTGGCACTGAATGTTTGCCATGTATATGTGCATTGTAATCTGCTCCGAGTCCCCTGTGGGGTGAGAAATAATAAATAAAATAAACACATAGAGAAGAAATAAATAAATAGTTAAGAAATAATAAATAAATAGGAGAAATAATAAATAAATAGGAGAAATAAATAAATAGGTGAGATATAATAAATAATAAATACAATAAACAAATAGAGGAGAAATAAATAAATAAAATAAACAAATAGAGGAGAAATAAATAAATAGTTGAGAAATAATAAATAAATAGGTGAAATAAATAGGTGAGAAATAATAAATAGGAGAAATAAATAAATAGGTGAGAAATAATAAATAATAGAAAATAAATAAATAGGAGAAATAATAAATAGGAGAAATAAATAAATAGGTGATAAATAATAAATAAAATAAACAAATAGAGGAGAAATTAATAAATAGTTGAGAAATAATAAATAAATAGGTGAAATAAATAGGTGAGAAATAATAAATATATAGGAGAAATAATAATAATAATAATAAATAGGAGAAATAATAAATAAATAGGAGAAATAAATAAATAGTTGAGAAATAATAAATAGGTGAAATAAATAGGTGAGAAATAATAAATATATAGGAGAAATAATAATAATAATAATAATAATAATAATAAACAGGAGAAATAATAAATAAATAGGAGAAATAAATAAATAGGTGAGAAATAATAAATAAAATAAACAAATAGAGGAGGCCATCTTCTGATGGCTGAGCAGAAGGAAAATGCTGAGGAGACGGCACTTGCTTTTTTTCGGGACCAATAGCAAACCAGGCCCAAGAAAGCAACACAAACCTTCCTTGCGGCCTGTGCTGAGCAACAATCACAACTGCTAATATGCACAAAGACAGATGCTGACTAAGCAGGCCGTAAGCATGAGCTTTGATTTCATAGAATTACATTATAACAGTGCTGGAAGGGCTCCTCAAAGGACTTCATGCAGGAAAAGCACCATTAAAGCACCCCTGACGGATGGCCAGCCAGCCCCTGCTTGATAATAATAATAGTAATAGTAATAATAATAATAATGCTCACCCAGGAGATGATGAATTGCCGGGCATACTGGTTGTTGGAGTAGATCCTCTCGCGCAGCAGAGGGATGAAGCTGACCAGGTCAAACTTGTTGCTCTCGGTCACAATGTCCTGCAAGGCCACAGCAAACAACACTGAGCACCAAGAATCACAGAATCCGAGAGTTGGAAGAGACCTTATTGCCCCATATTGCCACAGAGCAGGGAAAACACATTCAAAGCACCCCTGACAGATGGCCACCCAGCCTCTGCTCAAAAGCCTCCAAAGAAGAATCTTCCTAAGCTGTTGCATGACATTGTTGGCTCATGAATGCGGCCAGCGTTTGGCTCATGTCTGTCTAAGCATTGCAATTTCCTTGTGTGCTGGTACGCCTGTACCAGGAGCTCCAACTTTATTTGCTTTGTATTAAATGTTTGTTTGCAGCTCTGGGTTTCAGGGACTCTGCAGATAGGTGGCTTCCTTTGGTTGCAGTCATAGGGCAAGTCACCTGTCCATCACTGTTAAGTTTTGGTCCCACCCCTTGCTCAGGGCAATTGGGAAGGGAAGGGAGCCATTTTTCTCAGCAAGGAAAGCTAATGTACAGGATGCGTGCAAGCGTCCCTTGTACAAAAGCTTCAACCCTTAAGACTTTCCGGGGGGAAACAGTCTTAAGAGTCTTCAAAGATTTCCAGGAAAACAGCCCTAAAGACTAAAGAACTCCAGCTGGAGAATATCTAAGCCTTTACTGGTAGGTCCACTCAGTGCTTCGAGATGCAGTTCGACCCGGTAGCAGAGCCCACATCAATAAGAGTTAGATTACAGTCAGCCTGGGAGAAGTTAAAAAGGGGATTTTCCATTTAAAGTAAAGAAGAAGTTATTGAAGACAGTTGCTTGTCCTTCGTGGGCAAGATTAGGAAGTCACCAGTTGCATAAAGCTTGGAAGCCCTTGCTTAGCTTTATTGAGAAGTTTCTGTTTGATTGGTCATTAATAAAAGACTTTGTTATACTTCACAAGCCATCTAAAGGTAATTTGTGGTGGAAAACCTCTGAGAACTTCTCCTCGGGCCCCCTGGCTTCCCGTTGGGCAAAAGCTGCACGTCCTGTTCTAAAGGAAATTCTTTACAGGCCCAGCACGCAACAGAACACCTTACGTGCGACAAATGCTTTCCACTCAAGAGGAAATTGGATTTTCGCATCGCCCCTCGCTTCTTCCGACCCCTTCCGACTCTACACATTTTCCCTTCAAAGGATGACACAAAAGGCCCAGCAAGGAGGAGAGGTTTGCAGGACAAGAAAGCTCAATTGCAATCTTGAAGTTGGAAGGGACCCCCCAAAGACCATCCAGCCCAACCCCGTCTTCCACACAGGAAGACACAACCAAAGCAATGGACTTTTTAGTGCCATCCTTGTTTTGCTCCAAAGTTTGGTCTTGAGTGGACATACAACAATAGAATCAAAGAATCCTAGAGTTGGAAGGGACTTCGTGGGCCACCCAGTCGAACCCCATTCTGCCGAGAACCAGGGAAATCACCTTCAAAGCACCCCCAACAGATGGCCATCCAGCCTCTGTTGCTAAGCCTCCAAAGGAGCCTCTATCACACTCTGGGACAGAGAGTTCCACTGCTGAACAGCTCTCCTTACAGTGAGGAAGTTCTTCCTCAGGTTCAGGTGGAATCTCCTTCCTTTCCTGTAGTTTGAAGCCATGGCTCCATTGCATCCTAGTCTCCAAGCCTGCTCCCTCCTCCCTAGGACTTCCCCTGATATATTTATACATGGCTCTCATCATGTCTCCTCTCAGGCTTCTCTTCTACGGGCTAAACATGCTCAGCTCTTTAAGCCATTCCTCATAGGGTTTGCTCTCCAGACCCTTGATCCTTTGAGTCACCCAGGAGGGCTGGAACTCCATTGGAAAAGATCCGTAACGACTGGGAATTCTGGGCACTGAAGCCCAAAACATCAGGAGGAGGGAAGAAGAAGGACATCTGCTCCGAGGTTCAGCCAACTGAGATCCAAGTGTTTTCAATTCAGGCAGTCGAAAGAAATGATTAACATGGCATCCTCTCCTTTAGTGGCTCCCTTCCTCCCTTCCTTCCTTCCTTCCTGCCTGCCTGCCTGCTTGCCTGTTTTGCCTTCAGACCATTTGCAGAGCATCTCAGGCTCTACCTTTTGGAAACCCACTATGTGGCAACCTCTCTCTGCAACATAGCCGAGGGAGGGGCCTCGCAAGGAGGGATGGGTCTGATGACCCAGGCGCAGGACGTGAAGGTGCAGAGATTTTCCAAGGCCATCTCAAAGCTTCTCAGCTGAAAGGGAGATGGGAAACACCAGCTCAGACTGGGCTCTGAAATAGGCGCCAGCCCATGTCAACATCCTGCCTCAGGGGAGCGTGCTTGCTCCATCCATGTCCAACATCTACACAAATGACCAGCCACTGCCAGAAGGGACAGAGAGATTCATCTATGCTGATGATCGTGCCATCGCCGCTCAAGCAGGGAGCTTTGAGATGGTTGAACAGAAGCTCTCCAAAGCTCTAGGTGCTCTCACTGCCTATTACAGGGAAAACCAGCTGATCCATCTAAAACACAGACATGTGCCTTTCACCTTAACAGACAAGCATCCCAAGCTCTGAGGATTATTACCTGGAAGGAATCCCACTGGAGCATTGCAGCGCACCCAAATACCTGGGAGTCACTCTGGACCGTGCTCTGACCTACAAGAAGCACTGCCTGAACATCAAGCAAAAAGTGGGCCTAGAAACAATATCATACGAAAGCTGACTGGCACAACCTGGGGATCACAACCAGACACAGTGAAGACATCTGCCCTTGCGCTATGCTACTCTGCTGCTGAGTACGTATGCCCAGTGTGGAACACATCTCACCACGCTAAAACAGTGGATGTGGCTCTTAATGAGACATGCCGCATTATCACGGGGTGTCTGCACCCTACACCACTGGAGAAATTACCACCTGACATCCGCCGGGAAGTGGCAGCCAATAGTGAAAGGACCAAGGCAGAGACATCTCCAGCCCATCCCCTGTTTGGGTATCAGCCAGCACGTCAACGACTTAAATCAAGACAGTTTTCTAAGATCTACAGAGACACTCGCTGGAACAACCTCAGCAAGTGAGAGTCCAAAAGTGGCAGGCTCAAACCCAGAACCTCAACCAATGGCTGATACCAAATGAGAAACTCCCCCCTGGGCACACAGAAGACTGGGTGACTTGGAAGGCACTGAACAGACTGCGCTCTGGCACCACGAGATGCAGAGCCAACCTCAAGAAATGGGGCCACAAATAGGAGTCCATGACATGCGAGTGCGGAGAAGAGTAAAGTACTGACCACCTGCTGCAATGCAACCTGAGCCCTGCCACATGCACAACGGAGGAGCTCCTTGCGGCAACACCAGACGCACATTTCATCAGCTGCCAAGCTTGCAAATTCCGTGTTTTGTCTGTTTGTTTGTTTGTTTGGTTCTGTTAGAAATGTAATACAATTGTCTGGTTGCCTGACACGATAAATAAATAAAATCACTAGATGAGACACTGGCACCAGCTTTGCAGGATTCCCTTCTGACACCCGCCCGCTTTAAGGCGGTGTGGCTGTCTTCAGCCCTTTCCCGTCTGCCAGCTCCTCTGAGCCATTTGGCCCAACTGACGGTGACTCTTTGCCTCCAAAGACAGGAAAGAGGATCTCTCGCCACGGGGCTCCCAAACGGCACGTCTTCCGCTGCTGGTTATGTCTTTGCAGAAGGGCTTCGAGGACCTTTTCCCCAGCCTCGCCCTCCAACTGGTCTCAGTGGATCTGCCGAAAGCATCCTCCTCCCTGAATGTATCTATGCGCTACGGTCTAATCTTATCCTGAGATATCACCCTATCGGTGCTGTATGGCCTGTGGTTGTGCAAGATTTGTGTTGCATGTGTGTACACAGCACTCCTATGAGAGATTTTAATACAAAGACGATCTCTCAAGATGCTGAATGAGGAAACTCTGTCACAACGAGCCCAGAGATGAGCATGGGAAGTGCCAAAGGCTTGAAGGGCCTGCTCCTACCGTGTCAGGTGTGCTGTTTGGCCTTGTCAAAAACTAAAGGCCAGCACTGGCTTCCACAACGGGATACCCACCTCCCTCACCAATGGCACTGTAAGCAAACCTGAGGAATCCTGGGAAGACTGTACCCCCAGATCATGATGGGCCCTAGTCAGAACAAACGACCGGGCCGTGACGCAGCTAGTTACTAGCCAGGTGCATTAAATCACTACTGACTGAGAAATCATGATTACGAAGGTAGTTCAGGTCGGAGTGAGCTCCCAACCATTAATAGTCTAGCTTGCTGTTGACCTATACACTCCAAAAGACAGTTGCATCTGTCAAGTAGGAAATTAAGGTAATAATAATAATAATAATAATAATAATAATAATAACTTTTATACCTCACTACCATCTCCCAAGGGACTCGGTGCAGCTTACATGAGGCCGAGCCCATGATACATCAATACATGCAATAACAACCACAATACAAAGCAAAATACAAATACGAATACAAAGCAATTAAAAATAAAACTCATTCATAAATAGCATAAACATTGAACAATAGCACAAGGTACCACTTATGTGGGGAGGCTAATTCAACTACCATATATACTTGAGTGTAAGCTGACCCAAATATAAGCCGAGGCCCCTATTTTTACCACAAATAACTGGGAAAACATATTGACTCGAGTATAAGCCGAGGGCGGGAAATGCCGCAGCTACTGGTACAATTCAAAATAAAAAATTGATACCAATACAATTACATTAATTGAGACATCAGTGGCTAACTCTGATTAAACCATTATGCTAAACTTCTTCAGTGTAAATGTGCATACGTATCCTTCCAATAATAATAGAGTAAAATAAGAAATATAATAATAACAATAATAATAATAATAGAGTAAAATAATGGAAATGCTCAGGTTGGAGTGAGCTCCCAACCATTAATAGCTTGCTGTTGGCCTATACAACCCAAAAGACAGTTGCATCTGTCAGTCGCAAGGCCGAACAGGGCATAGGGTTACAGCCTGTGTTGGATGGGCCGCACTCCCCCTGAAGACGCAGGTTCGCAGCTTGGGTGTGACCCTGGACTCATCGCTGAGCCTGGAACCCCAGGTTTCGGCGGTGACCAGGGGAGCATTTGCACAGCTAAAGCTTGTGCGCCAGCTGCGCCCGTACCTTGGGAAGTCTGACTTGGCCACGGTAGTCCATGCTCTGGTTACATCCCGTTTAGACTACTGCAACGCTCTCTACGTGGGGTTGCCTTTGAAGACAGCTCGGAAACTCCAACTAGTCCAACGCTCGGCAGCCATGATTTTAACAGGAGCGGAGCGCAGGGAGCATACAACCCCCCTGTTGCGCCAACTCCACTGGCTACCGATCTGCTACCGGGCTGAGTTCAAAGTGCTGGCGTTGGCCTTTAAAGCCCTAAACGGTTCCGGCCCAAGCTACCTATCTGACCGCATCTCTGCCTATGAACCCACCAGGACTTTGAGATCTTCCGGGGAGGCCCTGCTCTCGATCCCGCCTGCTTCTCAAGCTCGGCTGGCGGGGACGAGAGATAGGGCCTTCTCGGTGGTGGCTCCTCGGCTGTGGAACGCCCTTCCCACGGACATTAGACTAGCACCATCTCTAATGGTATTCCGCAAAAAGGTGAAGACCTGGATGTTTGTGCAGGCGTTTGAGTAATTTAGTGCAATCTGGTAATGGAACATAGGAATGGAACAATGGACGACGAACCTGGACTACGCTTGGATGATGAGAAGATTGGGTACGGTTGTTTTTTGTAATAATTGTGCATTGTAATTGCTTATTGGTAATTTATGGATAATGTGTTAAGTCAATTGTTGTATGTTGTATGGAACCACTGCTGTTTCTACTGTTTTTACTGTTTGTGAACCGCCGTGAGTCGCCTTCGGGCTTGAGATACAGCCGTATAGAAGCAAAGTAAATAAATAAAATAAATAAATAAATATTATTTATTATATTTATTTATTTATTTATTTATTTATTTACTTTGCTTATATACCGCTGTATCTCAAGCCCGAAGGCGACTCACTGCGGTTCACAAACAGTAAAAACAGTAGAAACAGCAGTGGTTCCATACAACATATAACAATTGACTTAACACATTATCCATAAATTACCAATAAATTACTAATTTATGATACCATAAAACCTTCCAGCAGCACGTGTAAGAATGAGGAAGTACGTAATCAACGAATCAATGTCACAAGTGGATGGCGAGGCAGCAGCTCCCCCTGTGGCCAGAATCGAGCATATCCTCATGAAGCTGGAAAAAAGCTGGAATGTTAAATTGCCTCTGTGCCTGTCTATATATGTTGTATCTCCAATGGCACTGAATATTTGCCATGTATATGCGCATTGTAATCCGCCCTGAGTCCCTTGCAGGGAGAGAAGGGTGGAATATAAATACTGTAAGTAAATAAATAAATATAGTAATACTTTGTTTATACTCTGCCACCATCTCCCCAAGGGGACTTGGAGCGGCTTACATGAGACCGAGTCCAACAACACATCAATAAAAACAACAAGCAATAAGCAAATAAAACAATACAATTAATATAACTCAACATATAACACACAAGGGTTTTGAAAACCTATGGCTGGGCCAAATGTAATAGTTTAAAACTTTAAAATTAAACGAAAAATTAATGTCCCAATGGGAAAACATATGGAATAAAAAGATCAAATTTATGCTAGCCAGTGATTTAAAAGAAAACTGGTATAAGATGTATTATAGATGGTACTACACTCCAGAAAAACTATCTAAATTTAATAAAGGAATATCAAATACCTGTTGGAAATGTGGCAAAGAAAAAGGAACTTTTATCCACGTATGGTGGGAATGTAAAAAAGTTAAAAAATATTGGAATGAAATCCATGCTATCATGCAAAAAATATTAAAGATAAAATTTCCCAGATCCCCAGAGATTTACTTATTGGGTATACTAAACTCAAAATTCGATAAAAATCAAGAGAGATTACTGTTCTTGTTAAGCGCTGCTGCTAGAATTTTACTGGCAAAATTTTGGAAACAAAAAGAGGTGCCTGAAGCAAATACTTGGATTATTAAAGTACTTGAGATAGTGCAAATGGAGTCACTGTCCCAGAGATTAAATAGCAGGGGAAAAAATCAAATTGGTCAGGACTTAAGGATTACTGCAAAGAAAGGAAAATCCCACTGATGATAGATCTGTCCAGTGTGTAAAGAAGAAACGGCCGAGACATCAGAAAAGACGAGAAAAAAGAAGAAACGCAAACCTCAATGACTCCATGAGGCTCGGGAAGTCACTATTATTTTAAATCCCCCCCCCCCCCTCTACCCTGTGTATTTTCCCTTATTTCCTACTATACTATCCCCACAACCTCCCACCCTAACTCACCCCTGTCTGCGTCTGCCCCCCCCCTGTCTCTCTAACCCCTCCACTCTCCCCCAGAAATGAACGTCTTGTTTATGTATATTATGTGTTATGTATTGCAAAATTATAATAAAAATTTATAATAATAAAAAACTTTAAAATTAAACGCTGGGCATGGACAGAGGTAGGTCAGGTGTATCTAGGAGGGCTTTAAATAATTAAATAAATAAATACCTTCAGGAGCCGGTCCAAAAGCTCAGAACCGCTTTTGACATTTGGGTCTGGATCTGCAGCAAGCTGGGAAAGGGAAGAGAGAAAGGGAATGAGACAAGCAAAGAACTCGACTTCCAACACCGAAAGGAAGAAGATGCCCTTCTCGGTCACAAAAGAAGGCGTGAGCCTGCCACGGACCTCACTCCTCCTCCTCTTCTTCTTCCAGCAGGAGAAGAATAGGGCCTTCTGCCTGGAAACACGCTGAACTGCTGGAAGATGAAGGCATCGTCCCTCAAGCATTTTCCAAACGAGGCGTTCCACCAACTGGCCTCCACCGGCCAAAAGGCCACAATTTCTATCCCGGAGAGGTAGAAATTGGGGCCACTCTCCTGGCAGAGAAAGCTCGTTCCTTACCTTGCTCAAGCCATCGAAGAGCACGTTGAAGTGGGGGAGGACGGAGCCCCGGGCCACCTTCACGATGTTGTAGAGCGCCTCGCAGGCGTAGTAGCGCAGGCGGCTGTCGGCGTCATTGAAGCAAGTCAGCACCGGCTCAATCAGCTCCTTCAGGTACAGCCCAGAGTCCTGGTGAGGAAACAAACCCACAATGGAAAAAGAATAATAATAACAATAATAATAGTAATAATTGTGGGAAAAATAATTATAATAATAATAATTATAATAATAATAAAACTTTATTTACACCCCGCTACCATCTCCCCAAGGGACTCGGTGCGGCTTACACGAGGCCGAGCTCACAATACATCAGTAATAAAAACAATAGCAACAAGTAATACAAACAATAAAAATAAAAAAAAAGAAGAGACCATGAAAATGAACAAAATCTGGCTACCAGTATTAAAAAAAATCTAAAATTACAACAGCAAAACAGCAGAGAGGAAACAACCAGGCACATCTTAACACCTCTCAACAAAAGATTTTCCCAGGCTCAGCCAGGCCTTCAAATGCTAATGAAGGTGGTCAGTTGAAACATTCACACCTAGCTCCAGCAGGGAAGAGCTCTTTGCCCCACCCCAGCCATTCCACAGATATATAAACCCATTGTCCTAATTCCAACAGACCTCACTACCTCTGAGGATGCTTGCCATAGATGCAGGCGAAACGTCAGGAGAGAATGCCTCTAGAACATGGCCATATAGCCCGAAAAAACCAACAACCCAGTGATTCCGGCCATGAAAGCCTTCGACAATACAATAAAAATAAATCTCATAACAGAAAATAAGCAATAAACATTAACAGTAACCCAACGACGTTTAAAAACCTATGGCTGGGCCAAATGTCATAATTAAAATTTAAAAATAATGCTGAGCATGAACAGGTGAAATATGACTAGAAGTTTTCAGAGAGAAGGATGGGCGTGCAGACACTCCTAGATCAATAGTAAAGTGCATTTAGAGGGAGTTTCCTTAGTCTGGGAAGGCACACTGGGACAACCATGTTTTCAGGCTCCTCCTAAAGACGGCCAGCGTTGGGGCATGCCTAATGTCCTTGGGGAGTGAGTTCCAGAGTTGAGGGACCACCACCAAGAAGGCCCTGTCCCTCGTCCCCACCAATTGCGCCTGCAAAGGAGGTGGGAGCATGAGCAGGGCCTCTCCAGATGATCGAAGAGATCGTGTGGGTTCGTACACAGAAATGTGGTCACGCAGGTAGGAAGCCGTGTCTCCCTCTGTCTCCCTCAACTACAAGGCCCAGAAGTTTGAAAGAGGCAGTGATAGGATTTCAGGCGGGATGCACACTCTTTCGGCTCTAGTGTGAAAAGGCCCACAGAGAGAGAAAGTGCAGACATCACATCCTGGTGATGTCTGCACTTGCTGGCATGGCCTTGCAGCAGAACGGGAGCATGACCCAGACGCCCCCCAGGCTTATACAACGGGACAGCCCCCCCAGCCCCATTTCCGCCTACCTTTCCGAGGGCGATGGAGCATGCAGCCAGGCCGATGAGGCCCCCCTTGCGGCTGTGCGGGTGCTGCGAGAGGGCAAACTCCTGGGAGAGGATCAGGATCACGTGCTTGATCTGGGCCGTGCTGTTCTGGGCCACAAACTCACGCACCAGCCTAAAAGGAGGGAGGGAGGGAGGAAGCACAGCGGCACCCGTGACCTCCGGGGAACACCCTTCCCAGAGAACACGCACACACACATGCACATGCCTGTTTTGAGTCTAACAAGCCAATGGCTATGAAGACCATTCTGCATCCTCCCTCAATGGAAAACACAACGGGCAGTCCATATCAGGCTTATAGAATAGAATAGAACAGAGTTTAGAGGTCTCTTCCAACTCTATTATTACTATTACGATTATTATTATCATTATGGCTGGCTGGCCATCTGTTAGGAGCGGTTAATGGTGCTTTTCCTATATGCCAGAGTCAAGGGGTTGGACTAAATGGCCTTTAGAGGTCTCTTCCAATTGCAATTATTGTCATTATGGGTGGGTGGCCATCTGTTGGGAGGGCTTTGGTGGTCATGCATGAAGGCCGAAGGGGGCTGGACTAGATAGCCTTGAGAGGTCACTTCCAACTCTATTTATTATTACTATTATCATTATGGCTGGGTGGCCATCTGCTGGGAGGGCTTTGGTGGTGCTTTTCCTATATGCCAGAATAAAGGGGGTTGGACTAGATGGCCCATGTGGTCTCTTCCAACTCTTTTATTACTACTACTACTACTACTACAACTAGTACTTATCATTAAGCACGTTATTACTATTAAGATTGTTATTATCATTACGGCTAGGTGGCCATCTGCTGGGGGGGGGGGTTGGTGGTGTTTATCTTGCATGTAGGCTGAAGGGGGTTGGACTAGATGGCCTTTATTTATTTATTTATTTATTTATTTATTTATTTACTTTGCTTATATACCGCTGTATCTCAAGCCCGAAGGCGACTCACAGCGGAGCTCTCTTCCAACTCTATTTATTATTCCTATTACCATTATTATTACTATCATTATGGCTGGGTGCCCATCTGTTGGGAGGGGTTGATGGTGCTTTTCCTACATGCCAGAGTAAAGGGGGATGGACTAAATGGTCTTTCGAGGTCTCTTCTAATTGCAATTGTTTTCATTATGGCTAGATGGACATCTGTTGGGAGGGCTCTGGTGGTGCCTGTCCTGCATGAAGGCCGAAGGGGGCTGGACTGGGTGGCCTTTAGAGGCCTCTTCCAATTGTAATTATTATGATTACTCTTATGACTGGGTGTCCATCTGTTGGGAGGGCTCTGGTGGAGTTTTTCCTACATGTAAATGGCCTTCAGAGATCTCTTCCAATTGTAATTATTTTTATTATCATTATGGCTGGCTGGCCATCTGTTGGGAAGGCTCTGTTAGTGCTTGTCTTGCACGGCAGGAGATGGGGGTTGGACTAGATGGCCTTTAGAGGTCTCTTCCAATTGAAATTATTATTATTATCATTATGGCTGGGTGGCCATCTGTCGGGAGGGCTTTGGTGGTCCTTATCCTGCATAAAGGCCGAGGGGGGCTGGGCTGGGGGGGCTTCAGAGGTCTCTTCCAATTGTAGTTATTATTATTATCATTATGGTTGGGTGGCCATCTTTCAGGAGGGCTTTGGTGGTGCTTATCTTGCATGGAGGCTGAAGGGAGTTGGGCTGGGTGACCTTCAGAGGTCTCTTCCAATTGTAGTTATTATTATTATCATTATGGCTGGGAGGCCATCTGCTGGGAGGGCTCTGGTGGTGCTTGTCTTGCATGGAGGAAGATGGGGGTTGGACTAGATGGCCTTTAGAGCTCTCTTCCAAATGTATTTATTATTATTATTACTACTAGTAGTAGTACTAGTAGTATGTATTATTAAGCAAATTATTACTATTACTATTGTTATTATCATTATGACTGGGTGGCCATCTGTTGGGAGGGTTTTGGTGGTGCTTATCCTGCATGGAGGCCGAAGGGGGTTGGGCTGGGCGACCTTCAGAGGTCTCTTCCAATTGCAGTTATTAATATTACCATTATGGCTGGGTGGCCATCTGCTGGGAGGGCTCTGGTGGTGCTTTTCCGACATGGCAGAGTAAAGGGGGTTGGACTAAATGGCCTTTAGAGCTCTCTTCCAATTGTTGTTATTATTGTTATCATCATGGCTGGGTGGCCATCTGCTGGGAGGGCTCTGGTGGTGCTTATCCTGCATGGAGGCCGAAGGGGGCTGGACTAGATGGCCTTCAGAGGTCTCTTCCAATTGTAGTTATTATGATTACTATTATGGGTGGCTGGCCATCTGTTGGGAGGGCTCTGTTAGTGCTTGTCTTGCATGGGAGGAGATGGGGATTGGACTAGATGGCCTTTAGAGGTCTCTTCCAATTGTAATTATTATGATTACTATTATGCCTGGGTGGTCATCTGTTGGGAGGGCTCTGGTGACCTTCAGAGGTCTCTTCCAATTGTAGTTATTATTATTACTATTATGGCTGGGTGGCCATCTTTCAGGAGGACTTTGGAGGCACTTGTCCTGCATGGAGGCAGGACTAGATGGGTTCTTCCAACTCTGTTATTATTATCATCATCATTATTATCATTATGGCTGGGTGGCCATCTTTCAGGAGGGCTTTGGTGGTGCTTGTCAGGCATGAAGGGCAAGGGGGGCTGGGCTGGGTGACCTTCAGAGCTCTCTTCAAAACCTATTTATTATTATTATTATTATTATTATTATTATTATTATTATTGCTATCATTGTGGCTGGGTGGCCATCTGTTGGGAGGACTTTGGTGGTCATGCATAAAGGCCGAAGGGGGCTGGACTAGATAGCCTTTAGAGACCTTCAGAACTCTCTTCCAAATCTATTATTATGATTCTCATTATGGCTGGGGGGCCATCTGCTGGGAGGGATTTGATGGTGCTTTTCCTACATGCCAGAGTAAAGGGGTTGGACTAGATGGCCTTCAGAGGTCTCTTCCAATTGTAGTTATTATGATTCTCATTATGGGTGGCTGGCCATCTGTGGGGAGGGTTCTGGTGGTGCTTTTCCTACATGGCAGAGTAAGGGGGTTGGACTAGATGGCCTTCAGAGGTCTCTTCCAATTGTAGTTATTATTATGACTATTATGGCTGGGTGGCCATCTGCTGGGAGGGCTTTGGTGGTGTGTTTCCTACATGTAAATGGCCTTCAGAGGTCTCTTCCAATTGTAATTATTATTATGACTATTATGGCTGGGTGGCCATCTGTTGAAGGGGCTTTGGTGGTGCTTATCTTGCATGGAGGGAGATGGGGGCTGGGCTGGGTGACCTTCAGAGGTCTCTCCCAATTGTAGTCATTATGATGATTCTCATTATGGCTGGCTGGCCATCTGGTGGGAGGGCTCTGGCGGTGACTCACTGGGTGGCCATATTTGGGGGGGGGGGGCTTTGGTGGTGCTTTTCCTACATGGCAGAGTGAGGGGGTTGGACTAAATGGCCTTCAGAGGTCTCTTCCAAATCTATTTATTATTATTATTATTACTATCATTATGGCTGGCTGGCCATCTGCTGGGAGGGCTCTGTTAGTGCTTGTCTTGCATGGAGGGAGATGGGGGTTGGACTAGATGGCCTTCAGAGGTCTCTTCCAATTGTAGTTATTATTATGACTATTATGGCTGGGTGGCCATCTGTTGAAGGGGCTTTGGTGGTGCTTGTCCTGCATGGAGGCCGAGGGGGGTTGGACTAGATGGCCTTCAGAGGTCTCTCCCAATTGTAGTCATTATGATGATTCTCATTATGGCTGGCTGGCCATCTGGTGGGAGGGCTCTGGCGGTGACTCACTGGGTGGCCATATTTGGGGGGGGGGCTTTGGTGGTGCTTTTCCTACATGGCAGAGTGAGGGGGTTGGAATAAATGGCCTTCAGAGGTCTCTTCCAAATCTATTTATTATTATTATTATTATGACTATTATGGCTGGGTGGCCATCTGTTGAAGGGGCTTTGGTGGTGCTTGTCCTGCATGGAGGCCGAAGGGGGGTGGACTAAATGGCCTTCAGAGGTCTCTCCCAATTGTAATTCTTATTATGACTATTATGGCTGGGTGGCCATCTTTTGGGAGGGCTTTGGTTATGCTTATCTTGCATGAAGGCAGAAGGGGGCTGGACTAGATGGCCTTCAGAGGTCTCTCCCAATTGTAGTCATTATGATGGTTCTCCTTATGGGTGGCTGGCTGGCCATCTGCTGGGAGGGCTCTCTTGGTGGTGACTCACTTTTCGATCTCGAGGGCGGCGACCTTCCTCTTCTCGTAGAGCTTGTCGTTGAGGGCGCGCACGATGCTGGGCGTCAGCGGGGAGAAGTCCTTCTCCGGGTTGTTCATGGCTGACGAACGAAGCAGGCCCCGCTCCCCGCCTCCCTGGCTTCCCTCAGGACCTGGCCGCCGCCATCTTGCGCCGCCGCCGCCTCACGTGACCCTCACCCGCTTGGGAAGACTAGCCCCGCCCACTTCCCTTACGTCATCGGGAGTGACACACATACATATACACACACTGGAGAGCGGAGGAAACGCCCCGCCCACTTCTCTTGCGTCATCGGGAGGGACGCGCATCAACACACAGATACGCCCCGCCCACTTCTCTTGCGTCACATAGAGGCGCCCTCTAGGCGCACGCTGGTGACGCCCGGGCGGTTTCGCTTTCGCTTCATCCAAGTCTGGGTGGGCGGGGCATCACTCCTTCACTATTCCTTCTACGCGGCCATGGAACATCCGGATTATCTGCTTTGAACTGGATTATATGGCCGTGTAGACTCCTCGGAGCAGGTAATGTTCGTCATCTATTTCTATAATCTGGATTATATGGCAGTGTAGACTCATATCATCTAGTTCAGAGCAGATAATAATGTGGATTATTTTTGTAATCTGGATTATATAGCAGATTATATAATCTGGATTATATAACTATTATATTTATAATCTAGATTATATAGCAGATTATATAATCTGGATTATATAGCTATTATATTTATAATCTAGATTATATAGCAGATTATATAATCCGGATTATATAGCTATTATTTTTATAATCTGGATTATATAGCAGATTATATAATCTGGATTGTATAGCTATTATTTATAATCTAGATTATATAGCAGATTATATAATCTGGATTGTATAGCTATTACTTTTATAATCTGGATTATATAGCAGATTATATAATCTGGATTATATAGCTGTTATTTTTATAATCTGGATTATATAGCAGATTATATAATCTGGATTGTATAGCTATTACTTTTATAATCTGGATTATATAGAACGTATAACCCAGTTCAAGGCAGATAATAATGTGGATTATCCAATTTTATAATCTGGATTATATGGCAGTGTAGAGTCATATAACCCGGTTCAGAGTAGACTCATATCATCCAGTTCAAGGCAGATAATAATGTGGGTTATCTATTTTTATAATCTGGATTATATAGCTGTGTAGACACATCTAACCCAGTTCAAGGCAGATAATAATGTGGATTATCTGATTCTACAATCTGTATTATATGGCACTGTAGAGTCATATAATCTAGGTCAGAGCAGATAATAATGTGAATTATTATTATTATTATTATTTTTATAATCTGGATTATATAGTCTCATATAACCCAGTTCAAGGCAGATAATAATGTGGATTATCTGATTCTATAATCTGCATTATATGGCAGTGTAGAGTCATATAACCCGGTTCAGAGCAGATAATAATGCAGATTATCTATTTTTAGAATCTGGATTATATAGCTGTGTAGACTCATATAACCCAGTTCAAGGCAGATAATAATGTGGATTATCTGCTTTTATAATCTGGATTATATGGAAGTGTAGACTCATATCATCTAGTTCAGAGCAGATAATAATGTGGATTATCTATTTTTAGAATCTGGATTATATAGCTGTGTAGACTCATATAACCCAGTTCAAGGCAGATAATAATGTGGATTATCTGCTTTTATAATCTGGATTATATGGAAGTGTAGACTCATATCATCTAGTTCAGAGCAGATAATAATGTGGATTATCCATTTATATAAATCTGGATTATATAGCTTTGTAGACTCATATAACCCAGTTCAAGGCAGATAATGATGTAGATTATCTGATTTTATAATCTGGATTATATGGCAGTGTAGAGGCATATAATCCAATTCAGAGCATATAATGAGAGTGGATTCTAATTTTATTGTTGAGGCGTTATGATTGTTATACTGTTGTTAATTGTCGATGTTATAATCTGTTTTAATTGCGTTATACTGTTTTGTGATATTCTGCCTTGTTGTCTAAACTGCTTTGAGTCGCCTAAGGGCTGAGAAAAGAGGTCTAGAAATAAAGTCAATAAATAAATAAATTCTTCTAATCGCAGGAGCTGTCTTTCCATCCATCCCGGCAGCGCTCATCAATGACGGAACAGTCGAACTCGGGCTTCCCCAGGTTCCGGTTCACCTCATTGTGGATCCGGCAAAACCACTGCGTCCGATTGCGTCGGCTGGAGGCGTCTGGCCGATTCCGCCGTATCCTTTTTCTAAAATCTGCTCCGCATTTATCGCAAGGGAAAACCTTGGAGAATAAGGTGATGAACTGGATCGTTTCCTGCTGTTCGGTTCTGTTTGGCCGGTTGGAGTAGTAAGCCGCCATCTTATGGAGGAAGGACCAGGAATTCCTCCGCAGCTGCTCTCGATCTAGAGGACAATCCGAGGGAATCTCTTGCTTCCGCGGCGCCTTGCCTCTTCCGCTCGCGCATCCAGCTGCGGAAGTCTCAGGCCTTCCTCCTGGGCCGGGCGGTCCTCCTCCTCCTCCTCCTCTTCATATATTCATCCCCGAGGGGGATTCAGGGCGGCCTCACACAAGCACCCCACGATGCTATCGCCATGTAAACAATGAATGTATATGTTTTTATGGCTGTAAACCGGGCTGAGTCCCTCAACGAGGTTGAGAAGCACGGTATACAAAACTGTGAAATAAATAAATAATAAATCCAGAAATACATTAAAACAATGTCCACAATGTCTGCTTTGAACTGTATCTCTTTTCCAAGTCTGAAATGTATTTTGTTCTGCCTTTTTCGTAAATGTGCCAAAGAGAAGAAACTGTCGAAACTGCCTGGCTCAAGGCCCAGGAATGCATTCTCAATCCATGACAATAGACTTCCTGAAGACTCTCCTTTGTTGTAATTTTGGAGCAGGAGCTCGTAAGCGCCACATCTTGCAAGATGGAAGTAAATGCCTCTGTCCTATGTCTTTGCTTCACTGGGGAGTTTCTTAATCCTGAACTGTTGGTTTTATTAATTACTAGCTTGGGGACCCGGCGCTGCTTGGGTTATTTGAGAAAGGAAGTGTGTATCAAGGTTGGTCTTTATCAGTTATTTATATGGCTCGCAGTGGTTTCAGGAAGTTAGTGAAGGTACTGCGAGTCCCATCATCTGTGGTCCATCCTCCTCTAAACTGCACTCAGGATGGAGAGTGGGTCATGGGGGCTCTGTGTGCCAAGTTTGGTCTTGATCAGTCATTGGATGAGTGTCACAGCAGTCTCAGAAAGTGAATGATGGTATTGCAAGTCCCATCATCCATGGTTCGCCCTCCTCCAAACTGCAGTAGGATGTAGAGTGGGTCTTGCGGGCTCTGTGTGCCAAGTTTGGCCTTGATCAGTCATTGGATGAGGTCACAGGGGTCTTGGAAAGTGAGTGATGGTACTGCGAGTCCCATCATCTGTGTTCCACCCTCCTCCAAACTGCACCAGGATGGAGAGTGGGTCATGGGGGCTCTGTGTGCCAAGTCTGGTCTTGATCAGTCATTGGATGAGATTCACAGCGGTCTCAGAAAGTGAATGATGGTATTGCAAGTCCCATCATCCATGGTTCGCCCTCCTCCAAACTGCAGTAGGATGTAGAGTGGGTCTTGCGGGCTCTGTGTGCCAAGTTTGGCCTTGATCAGTCATTGGATGAGGTCACAGGGGTCTTGGAAAGTGAGTGATGGTACTGCGAGTCCCATCATCTGTGTTCCACCCTCCTCCAAACTGCACCAGGATGGAGAGTGGGTCATGGGGGCTCTGTGTGCCAAGTTTGGTCTTGATCAGTCATTGGATGAGATTCACAGCGGTCTCAGAAAGTGAATGATGGTATTGCAAGTCCCATCATCCATGGTCCACCCTCCTCCAAACTGCAGTAGGATGTAGAGTGGGTCTTGCGGGCTCTGTTTGCCAAGTTTGGTCTGTATTGGTAATTTTCTGACACAGCCTCAGGCCTTTTCCTCTCCTCTGCCTCCTCAAAATCTTGGAGTTTTGAGGCTGGCCAATCAGAGACCATATGCCAATTGAACCACAGTGGCAGCCAATCAGAACGCTGCCACATACACCTCCCTCCGCCCTCCACCACATACAAACATTGTCTTTTACTATATACACAGATAGATGGTTGCCATAAATGCTCACCAGGCTGCTCCCTCTCAATTTATTGTGGTCTAAATTCCATTTGAGAAGGAGGACAGTGTAGAAGGGCCTTCAGAGGGATGCCGTGGCCAACCCCTTCTGAACAAATCTGGCCAGGAAAAGCCAATGAGAGGGTTGCCGTAAGTGGGAAAGGACTAGTAAAGCTCAAGATTTTCCCCTGACATTAAGCCTAGTCGAGTCCGACTCTGGTGCTCATCTCCATTTCTAAGCTGAAGAGCCGGTGTCGTCCATAGACACCTCCAAGGTCATATGGCCAGCATGATTGCATTGAGCACCGTTACCTTCCCACCTGAGTGGTACCTATTAATCTACTCACATTTGCATGTTTTCAAACTTCTACATTGGCAGAAGCTGGGGCTAACAGCAGGAACTCACACCACTCCCTGGATTCAAACTGGCGACCTTTCAACCAGCAAGTCCAGTAGCTCAGTGGTTTAACCCACTGCGCCATTGGGGGCTTCCAGGCTGCAGCTGCACTTCCCTATATCTCAGGATCTGATCTGTGGATGAAGAGAACTAGAGGCGGTTACCCCCCCCCCATGGGCTATATATACTCTCGAGGGGAGAGTGGGCGGGGCCAACCGCCAAAGTTTTTCAATTTATCAGAAGATAATATAATAATAATAATAATATTTTATTTGTACCCCGCTACCATCTCCCCAAGGGACTCGGTGCGGCTTACATGAGGCCGAGCCCAAATACAACAGTACAAGATTCCGAAGCTGTTCTGCGCAGGCGCAGAAGTACCGTATGTGCGTATTCACAGTTGACCACTCTGGGAAAGCAGATCATCTGGGATCAGATCCTGGGATATAGGGCAGCGTAGATGCAGCATCGGCGACACCAACCATCTCCAGGTCTAGACCGATCATTGGCTTTGCTTCCCCCCCAAAAGATCCCCAATCCAGGCTCCCCGATTATCTTGTTGTGACAAACCTTCCGGCCCCTCCATTTTGGTCAATAACTTTATTTCAAAATAACGGCTTCTGCAACAAAACTTCCTGAGAGAGGGCTTAGTGGCGAGATCCCCCTGCCCATTTCCACTTAACAGACTGACCTTTCTCTGGAGGGGGAAATACCTGAAGATAAATAGGATGCCGTGGAGTGTGCTGCTGCCTTTCTAGAGGAAGGGTCTCCCTGTCTTTGGCTCCGTTTAGTTTGTGTCGTGCCGGACTCCTCAGCCCTCCTCGCTGCTTGTTCTGTGGGTCGTCCCATCAGGACTTCTTTCGCTCTTCCAAAGCAGGAAGGCAAGGCTTCCACTAAACAAGAGAGACAACCACCAGAGATGTCCACACACTTCATTTCTCGGGCACGATGCCCTTGAGGTAATACACCCAGGAGACCCCGGCGCCCAGCCCTGCGGCATGAGGGCAGGAGACCACCAGTTTGCTGGTGACGGGGGCTTTGGTGCTGCTGGGGTTCCCCTCAAAGGAGACCGAGATGGAGGCCGACTTCTTTGAGCGGATGGTCTCCGTGGCTTTGATGGTGAAGGCGGGGTTCTCCACGAGGTACGTGAAGGACATGGACTGCAGGAAGACGTTCTTGAAGGGGATGGTGGTGGTGGTGCCGGCCTTGATCTGGATGGGGCCCTGGGGCTTGGGGGGCACGCAGGTGCCGCAGAGGGGGATCACGTAGTCGCCCCCGGCGGCCGAGGACAGGACCAGCGTCCCCCGCGACTCCCCCAGCTGGCAGGGCTCGAAGGTCACCTCCACGCCCATTTCCGAGCCCCCCTGGGAGCCCGCGGGCGCGCTGACGACTTTGTCCACGTGGAAGTCCGGGCAGTCAATCTGGAGAGAGACAATGCTGTGTTGGTGTCGCATAGCAAGCAAGAGAAGACACCAAAGCCCTTTGATCAGGTCCCAAAAACCCAACAAAACACAAGATCTGTGTTGCCCCCTTGTGTCCGGCCCCTTGGTTGGGTTCTCTCTCTGTCATGAGTGGAATGAATGAAATTGTATGATTGGGGTCTGGCTAAGGGCCTATTATGTTGAACCTGGCTCAGCACAGAGAAGATGGCTTTGAAAGGCAGCAGATCACAGGAGCTGTCTTCATAGACCTGTCCGCAGCCTATGAGACTGTGAACCACCGCTGCCTCCTCCTGAGAAAAATGTATAGTATCACAAAGGACGACCACCTCACCCGCCTCAGAGGAAACCTGCTACAAAACAGGAGCTTCTTTGTTGAGTTCCAGGGCCAGAGAAGCAGAGGGCGGAAACAGAAGAACGGCCTGCCTCAGGGGAGCGTGCTTGCTCCATCCATGTTCAACATCTACACAAATGACCAGCCATGAGGGATAGTTTCATCTATGCTGACGATTGTGTCATCACTGCTCAAGCAGGGAGCTTTGAGATGGTAGAACAGAAGTTCTCCGAAGCTCTAGGTGCTCTTACTGCCTATTGTAGGGAAAACCAGCTGATCCCTAATCATATATCATATATATAATATCACAAAGGACGACCACCTCACCCGCCTCAAAGGAAACCTGCTACAAAACAGGAGCTTCTTTGTTGAGTTCCAGGGCCAGAGAAGCAGAGGGCGGAAACAGAAGAACGGCCTGCCTCAGGGGAGCATGCTCGCTCCATCCACGTTCAACATCTACACAAATGACCAGCCACTGCCAGAAGGGACAGAAAGCTTCATCTATGCTGATGATCATGCCATCACCACTCAAGGAAATCAGCTACCAAACAGGAGCTTTTTTGTTGAGTTCCAGGGCCAGAGAAGCCGATGGCGGAAACAGAAGAACGGCCTGCCTCAGGGGAGCGTGCTTGCTCCATCCATGTTCAACATCTACACAAATGGCCAGTCACTGCCAGAAGGGACAGAGAGTTTCATCTATGCTGATGATCGTGCCATTACCACTCAAGGAGGGAGCTTTGAGACGGTTGAACAGAATCTCTCCGAAGCTCTAAGTGCTCTTACTGCCTATTACAGGGAAAACCAACTGATCCCTCATCCATCTAAAACACAGACATGCGCCTTTCACCTTAAGAACAGACAAGCATCTCGAGCCCTGAGGATTATTACCTGGGAGGTTCTGTGTGGGAAGTTTGGCCCAATTCTAATGTTGGTGGGGTTCAAAATGCTTTTTGATTGTGAGTAAACTATAAATCCCAGAAACTACAAATGTCAAGATCTATTTTCCCCAAATTCCACCAGTGTTTACATTTGGGCATATTGAGTATTGGTGTCAAGATTGGCCCAGATCTATCATTGTTTGAGTCCACAGTTCTCTGGATATAGGTGAACTACAACTCCAAAACTCAAGGTCAATGCCCAGCAAACCCTTCCAGTATTTTCTGTTGGTCATGGAAGTTCTGTGCACCAGGTTTGGTTCAATTCCATCATTGGTGGAGTTCAGAATGCTCTTTGATTATAGGTGAACTATAAATCCCAGCAACTACAACTCCCAAGTGACAAAATCAATCCCCTTCCCAACCCCACCAGTTGGGTGTATCAGGTATTTGTGCCAAATTTGGCCCAGTGAATGAAAATACACCCTGCATATCAGATATTTACATTACGATCATAACAGTAGCAGAATTACAGTTATGAAGTAGCAATGAAAATAATGTTATGGTTGGGGGTCACCACCACATGAGGAACTGTATTAAGGGGTCACAGCATTAGGAAGGTTGAGAAACATTGGTCTACTTCTTTCTCTGGAAGTGCCTGATAGCAATCTCTCCCACTGGAAACAAATCACAGGAAAAAATTTCAAGAAGTATTCATGACATCTCTGCGGACAACCTCTAGGCCGTGACTTTGGTCAGTTGGGCAATCAGTGACCAAATCTGAACGCTTTGGGCCCTTAAATTGTTGAGCACTCTAAGCACTTGTGCTCTGCTTCCACTCCTGTATCTCCAGGTGCAAAGCTTGGACTCACCTTGGCAGAATACTCTGTCTTTTGGCGGGTATAGTTGACAAACTTGGCCACCACGTTCTGACTGCTGCCCAGCATGGCGTTGAAGTGCAGGGTCTTCTCTGCCCTGGGTGGAGTGGCCTTCAGGACCAGGTCGTACTGGAAGGAGCCCAAGTCGGTGCTGTTGAGTGCCAGGCGGCCCCCGCTCTCTCCAGGTCTCATGGGCTGGAAATCGAACGCAAGGACTCCCTGGAGAAGAAAAGAGGAGAAGAATGGATGCAGGAGGGAAGGAAGGAAGGAAGGAAGGAAGGAAGGAAGGAAGGAAGGAAGGACAGTCCAATGTCTAAAGCAAAGAAGAGCTCACTACCTCTGAGGATGCTTGCCATAGATGCAGGCGAAATGTCAGGAGAAAATGCCTCTAGAACATTTATTTATTTATTTATTTATTTATTTATTTACTGCACTTGTAGACCGCCGTTCTCAGCCCTAGGGCGACTCACGGCGGTGTACAACATATAAAATCAGGACAATTTCAACATAAGCAATATCACAACAACAATAAACAACATCACTATCCATAATACAATTACACTAAATCATTCGCGACGTCTCATCATTGAATCACAATCCAAGTCTCGTTATCCATGTTCCGTTCCAATCGTCATTGCCAATTGTTGCAGCACTTACTCAAACGCCTTCTCAAACAACCACGTCTTTAGTCTCTTGCGGAATGTCATAAGGGAGGGCGCCTGTCTGATGTCTACAGGGAGGGTGTTCCACAGCCGGGGGGCCACCACCGAGAAGGCCCTATCCCTCGTCCCCGCCAGGCGTGCCTGTGAGGCAGGCGGGATCGAGAGAAGGGCCTCCCCAGACGATCTCAAAGTCCTCGTGGGCTCGTAGGCCGAGATGCGGTCAGACAGGTATTTTGGGCCGGAACCGTTTAGGGCTTTGTAGGCCAACACCAGCCCCTTGAATTGGG